CCTCCCCCTCAACTATGTGGCTCCTTCAACTATTTCGGGTCCCTGCAGCATGAAGGGGAATGTTTTGTTGCCTCTCTGCAGCATACAGTCTGTGTGTTTGAGGCAGTGTGCTGGGGAAAGTATTTTGGCTCTATTAAAATGAAACCACTTGAGGCCATTCAGTCAGTGAAAGAGTGAACTTTTCCCTCTCCCGGAGGGAGAAAAATTGGGCTGGACAAAAACTGTGTGGGTCATTTTAGGCTCTCACAGAAACATGAAAATGCTAAATAAATGAGGTATTTAAAATAGACCAATAGGGATGGCCAGGAAGAGGGTACTGGCAGTGCTTTTATCCCACAAGAGGGAGGAGGAGTGAATGAGCCAGAAGATAAAAGCTGAAACAAAGCCATGCTGTGTGCCTTTGAGTTATTCACATAACACTGGATGGTGAGGCTTTCTGCTCCTGAGATACAGAAGTGGGGTCATGATTCTAACAATGGAGACTAGTAAGTTGCATTGTTTGCCTTACTCTGTATAACAAAGCTTTCATAAGAAGGAGCAAAGCCAGTAGCTATATATATTTTTTGTAAGTAATGGTTTCTTGTATGGTCATGCATCTTACAAAGCCTGCTACAAACTTGGCATAGCATGTGTATTCTACTATAATTATTCCATGACTGTTATGCATTGAAACGTGGATCCTTTCTGGTAATATGAGTCCATGATACCACAATGAGCGTTTTAGTATGAGTTCTTCTGATTTTATTAAAGGGACAGTCATCATGGGTCTGAATTACAGCCCCTGTGTCTAACTTCTAGACAAGCCAGGATGATTGTCCATGCAAGGTGTAGTTTAAATCACAATATATATTGTCAGGTATCCTGGAAGGAAGCCTATGATAATAAGTAAAAACTAATAGTGCAGCTAAAATTTATTAACTGTAACTCCTTAGGGATTTTGGGACCTTATGCTATCTTATATTTTGTGTGATGGGGGTCACAGAACTTTTCTACTATTCAGAAGCTCTTCCTGTGTGGTGTACTACTAAGGCAGCTTGTGAGACAATAGGATCTTATGCAACTTCTGTTTTGTTGTTTTTTTTGTTTGGTTGGTTGGTTTTTTTTTGTTTTTGTTTTTTTAAGAGGAATAGTTCAGGAAGGTGGGAATAGAGCCTTAAAATACTGCCTGTGTTAGTAGTGAAAATAAACTTGCTGTTTGGCTGGGTAGTGGTTTGTGTGAAATGAGTTGGTAATCTCAGTCCAGTTTATTTGTGGGGAGAGGTTTTCATGTTATAAGAGTCAGTTATCTTTAGAAGTCTTCAGATTAGAGACCCAGGATTTAAATGGATATGGAGAGAGCACCAATTGTCAGAACTTTTGCTGAATCTGTGGATAAAATGTTTGTTGTTTCTCTCAAACTGATTCTTATCACAAGCAGATTATTTACCCCCATTTTAATGGCGGAGTTGGAAGAGGACGGTTGGGTTGGCCCTGGCTTCGAGTGGGTAGGCAATTAGGGGGCAGGCGAGGGTGGTAGGAGGGATAGGGCAGAAGGGATTGAGCTGCCTTCCCCTCAACAGGCATGAGAGGGGGGAAATGGTGGCTGGGGACTCTGATCCCAGGGATGCACCCAGAGAGTGGGATCCACGCACAGGGTTCTGCCCGCTTGCGTAGGCTCACCACAGCCTAGCAGCAGTGTCTGAGTACAGGTTCTGGTCCTGCTCCTCCACCAGGCAGATAAAGTAGAGCCAGCCCTCTACTGGCTGGAGCGCGGTAAGCCCTGTGTCCCCTACCCCAGTTCCCAGCTGCAGTGCCTGTTGGAGTGGGGTTAGCCTCCATGCCCCATCCTGTTTCCTGGCTGAAGTGCAGAGCAAGCTGGCAGAGCAAGGCAAGAGCTGGGACACAAGAAGATCTGTGGAGGCATGCAGGGGTGGGGCTGGATGGGAAGTGGGTAGGCTATAGCTATGTGGTAATGTATGAAATCTTATTCCTTCGGCTCTCAATTGTGGTGGGAAAGGGGAGGCAACTAATTTTAGAGGTGGTTTATTTAAAAATAAAGGGCTTTTTAGACTTCATGGTCTAGGTTGAGACACACAATAGCTAAGACCGTTCTCACAGTTCTGAATACTTGGCAGCCAAGTGCCTTTTTTCCAGTAATGTGCATCTGGCCCCATTTAGATTAATATTTATTCTATAGGGCCTGAGGAAAGAGGGCATGGAGACAACTTTTTCAATACTTGCCTTTCTGCTCAGACTTCAAAAGCAGGACAGCTGGGGTGATTTGTTGATGGACATTAAGTCACCAGAAACTGAGCAAAGATTACAAACTCCTTTACTTAAGTCACCAGCATTTAACTGAAACTACTTTGAAACTAGTAACCTGAGCAAGATTAAAACTAGTGAGTCATATGTAGTGCTCACAGTGCTAGGTGCATTTAGACCAGAAGGAAACCAGGACCCTTCTGTCAAGTTGACAGAATGAAGAAGGTGATGGAATATAACATAAAGCTAACTCGTAGGATTTTCCATGGTTTTTTTTTCCTCTGGATTTTGGGGATTTTCAGACATTACTTCATGTTCATTACAGTTATTACCTAGAGTCCCCAACCAAATTTCAAGCCCTCATTATGCAAAGTGCTGTGCAAACGCATGGTAACAGGGAAGAGTGTGCCTACTTTGCAGAAGGAGAACTGACACACAGATTAAGTGAGTTGTCTGAGGCGGCAGAGACTCTGAGACCTGGGACTTAATCCACTGGAGATTGTAGGCTCTGTGAAAGGAGATGTTTGTTTTGTTTGTAAGAATGGACCTGAGTCTACATGATATGCTTCTACATTCTATCGTAAGAATGGACTTGAGTCTACATGATATGCTTCTACATTCTATCTTAAAGATTAGCTTTAATTCTATACTTTCAGTTTAAGAAAAATTTACTTTAATTGGAATGCTCTTTCCTTGTGATGTTGAGTAACTTAAAAAGAAAATGCTGTCCAGGCAGTATTATTTGTTAAGTCCTTGCTCTTAGATTTTTTCTTGGAACAATGATACAGTTAATAGTTTTGGAAAGTGGCATTGCCTTTTGTTGGTAACATGTGAAAATAGCCAGTGGCTTCAAAATGTTTAGGTTTTCAAATGGTATTTCTTTGGTTTTTGGTGTGGGAAAACCCTTCTAAATATTTCAAAGGAAAGATAGTACCTCAAACATATATAACATGAAGGTCTAAGGCAGCAATGGGCAATCAAGGCTTGTGAGTGGCCCTCCTTCATCTCTGTGGGTGCAAGATTGAAATCAGACATATGCACTAATCATGACCCCAAGAATAAAACTGAATATATTGCACCTGATTCTCCTTTATCATTCCTTTTTCAACACAAAGTGATCCATTATTAAGGGTAAAATAAATTGCTTCTTTAAGTTACCTTTGCCTGCAGAGGGAATGCATGGCTTTGCGCAATCAACATGCATCTCACACATGCCCTTGCTTTAAATGTCACTTTTTTTATTTTGCCTCCACTCTGCTGCAGGCCCTGCCCCCAATCCACTACTTCCCTCAAACTTCCACCTGGCCTCTCCCTGCTTCTACTAAGGATGTTAAATTTAGACTAACTGGCTAATCGAATAGTCGATGCAATTTGCATTGACTGTTCCAACTAGTCAATAAACCTCAGCCTTTGAAGTGTAGCAATAGCCCCAGGGCTGTTGCTACACTTCAGAGGTGAAAGTGTTTTTGGGAGCACGGGGCCAGCAGGGAACTCAAGCAGTCCCCCGCTGGCTCCGTGCTTTCTGTGGCGTTTCAAAGCAGTAGCGCAGCATGAAGTCCAGGGTCATCTGGGGACTCAGAATCCCCACCTGATCCAAGGCTCCATGCAGCACTGCTGCTTTGAAACACCACGGGGAGCCCAGCATCAGGCTCTACGCAGCGTTTCATAGCGTCAGCGCTGCATGGAGCCTCGGGTCAGCATGGGAATCCCCAGTGGCACTGCTGCTTTGAAACGCTGCGTGCAGCCCGGAACCAGCAATATATTCAACGCTGCCACTTTGAAAGCACCCCTTGTCTCCCCCTCCCCCTTGCTTTCTCTTTCTGAAAGAGGCAGCAAATGTGTGCGGGGAGGGGAGGGAGACTAGTCAACTAGCATATCGACTATCCAATAAGCATTTGCTTATTGGATAGTTGACTAGTCATTCACATCCCTAGTCTCTACTCCTGGGCATACCCCATCCTATCTCTCCTTTCTTCCCAGCATTGAATCAGCTGATTTGCACCTCCTCTCTGCTTCTCCCCCTCTTTGCTAGAGCTTGAACTCTTCAACTCTGCTGATTCACAGTGCTCCGGAAGTTCTGGGATGGAGGGGGAAGAATAGGTAAATGCAGGGTCCCCAGTGGTCCGGGAGAGGGGGTAGAGGGAGTTGCTTTGGCATAATGTTGCATGCAGCTCATCAGGATTCTACCTGTGGGCCTCAGGTTGCCTTCCACTAGTTCATAGTTTGCTCCAAGGATAATATTGCAATGTTTGGCTTTTGTTTTTAAAAGTTATGGGAAAATATCTAATAGTTTCACTGGTAAAAACACTCAAGTTGTTTGTTATAGTATTTCTTTATTTTATATCACTTGCTTTGCAAATCTGGGCTATTTTGTTTTTGTCATCATATTGTTAAACTGCTTTGCTGCACACTGAAACACTTTAACAGGATTTTAGGACATACTATTTTAATTAAAAATCTTTACTTGAAGCAATCTGTCTAATTTCTATCCCATTCTCAGGCCTTTCTCATACCTATGATTGGCTTTGTTTTATTGCCTTTTAGTTTTCACTGCTTTTAATTCTTTGGTTTGGGAGGCGGGGGGATGTGAAATGAAAGCTACAGGACAAAATTGACAATATAATTGGATTTGAAGTAACTACAGCCTGAGAGTGTTGCAACAGCTGATCTGATCCTTCTGAGTTTCAAGAGCTATTTATGGTAGATTAGCTGGTGTCAAAGCTCTACTGTTCAGCCCATAAATGGTTGGTCCCATGTGAAGTTGCCACACTGCATTTGGCTTAGTCCTCTGAGGTTGGAGAGCCTGTAGTTTTATGTGGATAAATCAAGTGATGGATGGGAGCACTAAAGGTGGATCAGGGAACTACGTGGTTGAGGACTTCAGACGGCTGAGAACTTTTGAAAGAAGAATTTTGCTAATAACTTTATTCCCGAATATTTCAGGAATAGTGCTTGCAATATAGCTTTTGCGTAGTTACTCTTTTTGGCACCCACATGCCATAGGAAAACACCATTCTAAATTTATCTGTCTCTGAATCATCTTGGCTACAGATGTTCTTGCCAAGTTTGCATGTTGATATTTGGTAACTTGAGTGATGTGTCATTTTTGTTTTGTTAGCACCTGAATATTTTATGTTGTTTGGAAAGAAATTTTTAGCTGAAGTGAGAACTTCTCGAAAACAGTGCCATGGAAATCTAATTCTTACTGTTGGCTAGAAGGAATTGCAGTAATTCTGTGATTATTTTTAAGTACTTTTTTCTTTTTTTTTCCTGCATAAAAGCAGACAAGCCATTTTTTAGAAGTGGGATTTAGACGTAAGTAACACCTCTTTATAAAAGCTTGAAAACAGATGTTTGAAAGCCCGTTGTTTTGAGAATGTTTGAAGCTTTGCAAGGTTGAAGTGTGAGTAGTTTTTTCCAGCTTGTGCATGCCAGTCATTCAGTCTTCCTTTGCTGCATTTTAATTCTTGTGATTTTATTTAAACAAATAGTTCATATCACTATGGATGGAAAGTCTACCATTGACTAGCTCATCTGTGAAGTGTTATGCTTTTAGAGCGTATTAACATACAATACCAGTATCTCAAATTGGAATAGGAATTAGGGATGTAAAATCCCACTTAAACAGTATGTTTAACCAGTTAAACAGTTAACTGATTTAAGGGGAGGGCACGCAGGAGCAGCCTCTGCCTATGGGGCACCCTAGTCTGCTGCAGGCAGGGACTGCTCCAATCTGACTGGAGCAGTCCCTGTCTGCAGTGGGCTACCCAGCAGGGCTAGTGCAGACCCACAGGTTAAACATTCACATCCCTAATAGGAATATAATCTAAGTAAAAGGTATTTTATTGATTTCTTCCCCCCTCTCAGTGCTTTGGTAGAGATGTTGTAGATTCACTACTGAAATGTATGATTTTAGTTTGATCAAAGTCTTACAGTAGTCTAGATGTGATACAACAGCTGCATTTTAACAACTGTGATAGACTTGGACGCTTACTCAATATTTATCTCTAGCTCTCCAGTTGCCATTCTTTTCACATATTCGCTGGTTTTCTCCATTAAAACATGTTGGGAGAAAACTGGTTGCATGTTCGTTCTGAACCACCAGCGCAGCATTATTTATTAGCTGCTGAATGTTGGTTTTTTTCTTTCCTCGCTCCCAGTATGTGTCTGTGGATTAGACATTAGTTTACAAAACATCCTATGAAGCGAATATAAATACTATCCCTATTTTAATGGAGAAAGGAGGCAAGAATGGCTTTCAGGAGCTACTGATTGAGAGTTCATGTCTCTGCTCTGTATTTGAACTGCAAGACCATAACCTTTCCTCAAACAGCTCTAAAAACTTGTTTACTTAATATACCCACTATCTCTTTGCAAGTTTGTGTTCTCTTTAGGCATTTTGCTGCACAGCGTGTCAAATGGGACAGACAGCGAGCTTTTCTGTATTAAACTGTTAACAGTCCTTTTTCATCTGTTAGTGAGTGAATGTGAGACATTTTTGTAGAAAAGTGCATGGTGGTGTTTGTATTCACTTGAAATTTGGTAAATTCTGCTTGAATGCCTGTGGAAACTTAGCATACAGTCTAAGTCTATCCAGCATATTATAAAAAGATGGATTCTTCACAGTACAGAAGCTGTGGCCTTAGTCACATACTGCATCAACCATGACCCTTCAGATGTCAGCTCTGACAAAACAGAAGTTAATTGTGTTCTCAAAGTCTTTACTGACTTGTCTCACTAAAGCTCTTGCAACTCTTTTATAAAATAATTCCTCCCTTATCCATGTGTTGAATAGATTCAGATTTTAATAGGGCATATTCTGAAGCTCTGCCTCTTCACGTTACTTAGCTATTCCTTGTCTGTTGCTTCTGAGAAAGAAGGCTGGTAATAAATCCTGTTGCTGTATTAATAACCCTCTAGTGTGCACAAATAACCACACATTGAAGGTTATTTTGTGCTTTTGTGCTGAATTTTTGGAAATGTCTTTTCTGCTTCTGAACTTGATCCCTACCTGGTTGTTTAGAGCCGGGGAATTGGGACTAAACCTTCTATGAATTAAGTATAGGTCTACTGCAACATTTAAACGCACAGGTTTAGAGCTGGGGAACTGGGACTAAACCTTCTATGAATTAAGAAAGTATAGGTCTACTGCAACATTTAAACACACACAAGAATATGGCAAGTTACCAGTTCACACCAGGGCTACCATGCTGTAAGAGCAAGAGGACTGTGTTAGAGTCCTTAACCTTGGATCTAAGTTTAATGTACTAACAATGTAGCTGCACATGTTAGGAAGCATTCTGGTTAATGAAAAGATACTTTATCTTCATACAACAAATTCTCAAATTGACTAGTTGCCAAATTCTAGTAATCTCCCCATATATAACAGGGAAGTTATTCAATTGAACATTAATAATTCTACTTTTCAGAAGCGCTTTTTTTCTTAGTCTTTGCTAGAAATGTAGCAGATTAACTTGTGTAGTAATATTTTGAACTAGGAGCTGTGGGATTCAAGTAGGATTACCAGTATACAGATTTGGCGTTCATGCAAAATTCCTAATCCTGGTACTATGCAGGGAAGTGTGGAAAGATCGCGTCCTTATCTTTAATCTATTAAAAACGTCCAAATAATTTGATCTTCAATTCATCATGCAGAAAGGAGACAGTACAGTATCACCTTGATATACATTAAGCCTCTTGGATTCTTATTAAGAAAAAGTTAAAAGATATTTCTCTCTCTTTTTATTAAACTGCAAGAGCAAGATGGAAAAGATGTTATAGTTGAGTCATAGATTGAGGTACTTGGTACCACAGGGAATTAAGGTGCATTCTGCCAAGTTAATGGCTTTATTTGTGAGGGGGAGAATCTATGTAATAAGTAAAGCACTGGTCCCCAACACAGTGCCTGCGGGCACCATGGCGCCCGCCAGGGCATGTATGTGTGCCTGCCTAGTGACCAGAGCCAGCCTTGAGCCATTTTTGCACCCTTGCCCCTGGGAGCGCGGCGCATGCGCGGCCCCAAGAGGTTGGGGACCACTGATGTCAAGAAATAGCATACAATAACCTGCATACACATCATTAAGCATCATTAGCTAATGGTGTTTTGCTCTGGAGATATATGTTCCAAGTAATGGTATGAAGGCCTTTTGAAAAAAACAGGACACTTGCTTATGTGTATTGGGTTCTCACTAATTTGTAGATTTTGTGTTTTAGATAGAAGAAAACTCACTGCTTTCATTTTTTTTCTGATTAAGAGGTCAACCATCCCCAAAGAAATGGAGGGAAAAAATACTGCCATTGTCAATCTACTTGTCCTCCTCTGCCATTTCATTAATTTAAAACTTTAAGTGAGCTATAGCTTTAGAATGCAGCTGTGTAGTTGACAGCTCACCTTCCATAGGGTTTGTATTCAGACTTCTTTTCTCCACTGGGAGGGACTCTGCCCTCCAGACAGAATTGAAGGGAATAATTTACTCTTAAAGAAGCAGCAAGAAAGATTTTCTTCCAGTTTTTAATGACACCTTCTTATCTTTGTGTTAACTCTAAGCTATCTAGTTGAAATAACTGAAACATTTGAAGGTCTCTGATTTTAGTGAACAAAGCATGTTCCAGTTGGCATCTGCCTTAAGCAGATAAGGCTGCTGTTAGATGTAGTCCTTGGAGAGTAATTTGGGTAGAACAAACTTTTCAAAGTTCCTCATGTGATGTTTACTTAACAAGCTTGGATATTTAAAAAAAAAATCATGTGCTGGTAGTAATACCAAGGATGTTCTAGGAGAAAAAATTCAGGCCACATGAGTTTATTGTGCAACTAGTATGTAATCTCCACAGGATTCGACATGTTGTAACATATGACTAATGAGATTCTAGTTTCTGAAACTTTCTTACAGAATTTATTCAGGTACTTGGAGAAGTGCTGTGTAGATTTTTTGCTAGACCAGAGAAAACTCTGCATGCCAAAGAGCAGTGGGGAGTTAACATATTGTTTTTGTGGTTTTAATTATTACCAGATGCTCACTGTGATTATACCTGCAAAATCTACTGTTAGAAAACTACTGACATTCAACTGACAGATGCAGGGTCTCATTTTTGTTTAATCATATTGGTCTCTTCAAATGTAAGTTAAATTATCTTCCAAAAAAGTTAAGTTCTATTTTCCCTGGTGGTGAATATAGGGTATAAGGTGCAGTATTTCAAAATGAGATTAAATACAGAAGAAATGCTCTAAAGAATGTTAAGATTTCACATGCTTTACATGAGTTTTCTTTTCCAGTCTCTGACTTCTGGTAATCTGTTCCATTCGTTAAGATTTCACATGTTTTACATGAGTTTTCTTTTCTAGGTCTCTGACTTCTGGTAATCTGTTCCATTAAGCTGCCAGGGAAGACCTCAAATAGTATTGTACATACTCTTAATTAACTTCTTTAAACAAATTACCTCAACAGTTCTATTATACTGGAACCTAGGAAGCAGGGCTAGCATTCACCAATTGGGATTCATCAGGTATTAACTAGGACTGAAAACCAGCTGAACTTTTAAAATCCAACAAGATTGCCTTTCAAGCCTATTACCACTGATAATTCAATAACTGGGCACTGGAATGGTGGTCTTGTGCTTACAATGTGGGACTGGCAGTAGGGACATCTAGGTTCAGTTCCTCTGATTTTTGGTGTCAAAGGTTACGTCTGCACTGCCAAGAAAAGTCAGAAAAAGATACGCAAATTGTGGTTTGCAATTTGCTTATCTTTTTCTGCTTTTTTCCCCCCAAAGAGGCTTTTCTGAAATTTGGCCCATCTACACGGGGCCAAATTTCAGATAAAACGCCTCTTTCAGAACATCTCTTATTGTTCCAACCAAGAGGAATACATGGATGCCGAAAGAACACATCCGCTTTTTAAAAAAACTGCTCCAAAAAAGCGGACACATTCCTTAGATACAGCAGAGCTAAAAGTTCTGCAATCGAAACATAGCCAAAGTCACTTAATGTGTGAGTCTTCATTTTTTCCTCTGTAAAACTGTGCAAGTAACTATTGCCTAATGTGTGCTACAAGGCTTAGTAGGCTTATTTGGAGGGTGCTATATAAATTCGCTAATGAATAACATGTTCAGATAACTAAACCCCTCAACGTCTAACTTGCTGCCTCAGCTAAGACCCAGTTGTTTGGTCTCAAAGCCAGTAGCAGACTTAGAAACCTGTGATCTGGCTGCTAGTGAGGAACAGTCATGCTTCAAGTTTGGTTATATTAGCAATATATATATTGGTTTGAGTTGCCACTAGCCACATGTACTATACACATGCTGAAAGGTTAGATGGTTGCAGGGAAAGGGTGATGTCAAGCTGCACTCAATGTGTGTTTTATATCCACACTATTTAGAAGGCATGTAAAGATGCTGGCCAAAATTCGAAAGGTGGAGTTAAGGGAAGAAATACAATACACCACATGTTTTTCAGAATCCTGTTTGTACATTGCTAATTTATTTCAAAATTGCTAAAAAGCAAAGCATGTGTTCTCTGTTGAAGAGCATAGCATCCAAATTGGTGTTTCCAATTGTTCTTTCCTCCTCCAAACTCCGAGAGGCTGGATTTTTCATAGGGACTAAAGGCAGCCTATTTACTTTGCAAGCCATTGGGATTTAAACACCCAGCCTTTTGGGCCCCATTAAAAAAATCACAGCCTAAAACATGTCACGGCTGAACTTGAACGTTTAGATTATGTAAATAGACATTTTTAAATTAATTTTTTCCTTAGAACCCAGGAAGCAGCTAAGCAGCATTTCATACTCTTCAGTTCCAAAGTAACTTTCCAAAAAGTTTTATCTTGTAACTGTAGTGCCCCATAAAATTGCATTGCCAGACCAGCCTATGACTAAATTATTGCAGCTATGGGTTGAACTGGAGCTTGTCTAATTAAACACTGTAAGCTTAGTTCACTACCTCTGAACAGACTGACCCTGGAAAACACTAGTGAAAATAATTACTATGCCTTGCTGATAAAATCATGGTCTGGTATCATTAATTTGATTTTAGAGCTCCATAAATTAAAATATAAAAGCAATGAAAGCACAAAACAACAATGCTGTAAATGTCAAAGTTAACAACAAACATATTATTATGTTAACTGAAAATAGTAATTTCGTATAGGAATGGCTTTGTTTTGTCAAACTTCCATATGGGCATTTTAAAGGGTAGGCAGAGTATTAGTGAGGGGCTCTCACTTTTTAATGAGTGCTTAACCTGTCTGTTTAGCTGCAGAAATAACTTTGCAATGATTGAGTAGAGCCAAGTGTAAAAGAACCATTAAAGCAAAACCCTGGCTTCAAAAAACAGAACCCCGCCTTTGCAGATTTTCAGTATAATGGTGCTTTCAGTAAGCTTTAAATTCGATACACTAATTAGCTAAAATATCAACATTTTATATAAAATGTGCAACTACAGATTTAAAAAAAATACTGCCTGTGACTTTACTAGTTTTAAAACTCAAGCATTATGGAGAAAATTAAAATACTTTACCTCCGGAAACTTATTCTTTCCACAAAATTGTTGCTTTTATCAGAAATCCCTCTGAACGCAAAATAAATATAACCTTTTAAGGTTTTTGCTTCAGAGAATATTTTAAGAATACTTTGATTAGAAAAGTACTTTCATAAAATTTAATTTCAGTCTATTTTGCCATTTTGATCTTCTGAAAAGGCCTACTGACGGGGTGGGCGAAATTGCCTCAAGGCCAGAGCCCTGCGTCCTTTAAATTGCTGTTGAGTGCTAGACAATAGCGATGTGAAAGATTAACCAGTAAGCATCACCTGTAATAGTAATGGGTGATGCTTACCGGTTAACCGGCGGGCATTGGAGCAGTTACTTGCCCACTGTGGGCTGGGGGCTGTTCCAGCCCTGTGCGGCCCACCACAAACAGGAGTTGCTCTAGCTGTCCAAAGCAGCCCCATCTGCAGCGGGCCTGGGTGCATCACAGGCAGGGGCTGCTTCTGTCTAGAGCAGCCGCTGTCTGTGGTGATGATGGGGATACTGCAGCTTGGCCACGGTGGTTTGGGGGGGACTGGAGGGCTGCTCCAACCCAGCCTGCCTGGAGCAGCCCCTCTACCCCCTTCTTTAATTGGTTATCCAGTTAAACAGGATTTTACATCCATACTAAGCTGCATGCTCTGGGTGGATCTGAGAGCTGCCAGGTCGAGGTGGTGAGGGGAGAGGTTCATTGTAGCTGCTCTGAGTAGTGCTGAGGGCTTGCTATTGCTTATCACCAGGGCTCAACAATCTATTGAATCTACTTGCCCATGGCGAGTAGATTTCAGCCCGGCACCCCGTTTTCCAGCGGCACATGCATGCGCAATGCGGCTCTTGCGCATGCACAGTGTGGGGCTGGTGAGCGGCTTTCGCTGCAGTTCGGCGAGCTCTGCTTATCACTATTGTTTTTTACTTCCATACAATTGAGGGGAAGGGGGGAAATGTAATAAACACTTATCTGATTTGACAGCATTATCCTGTAGCTTTTAGAATGGAAGTCACTGACTGAAGTATGGCTCTGAAGTAAACAGAATGTTGCTTTCAGACCTTTCCAGGTTATTGTATGGCCTCTACTATGATACTGAACATGGATGACTGGATTCCAAACATGATGCGTCACACACCTTTACAAGTCCAACAGGTAAAAGGATATAAAGAAATACCGTGTGACAATATAATTTTATACAAGTAAAGATTACGCACAGTTTTTAACTTCCAACTTGGTAGTTTGGCCCTTCTGGCTTGAAAAAGATGGCAGTGTTGTCTCTATCACGTTACTGTTGGGATACAGTGCCCCTTGTTAGTTATTTTAATGTTATGTGACAGGTAATGTCCTCTGAAACCTTTATTTATGAACGTATCTGTGGGGAGGCTTCCTGCAATCACTAATCTGGGTTGAATTAGGGGAAGGTATTTTGAAGTTGCACAACCCATAAGGGTATTTCAATCAGCACTTTCTTCATGACTGTTTTTGGTTTCTGATAAGTGACAGGAGATGGATCACTTGATGATTACCTGTTCTGTTCATTCCCTCTGAAGCACCTGGCATTGGCCACTGTCGGAAGACCAGATACCAGACTAGATTGACCATTAGTCTGACCCAGTATGGTGGTTCTTCTGTTCATATATACTATTTGGGGATTGTCAGAACACTGTTAATTGAAGAGCCACTGGAAATGCCTAACCTAATTCCAGATTAGGAAGAAGAAAAACACTGATAGCCATGGTTACACCTGTATGTGGTGGTTACTGCTGATAAACTAGTGCTCTACGCTCAAAACTTAGATCGAACTAGCTATGTTACTCATGGATGAAAAATTCAAACCTCTGAGAGAGAGAGAGGGGAAAAAGGGCATAAGCATGGTGTTCACACTTTTAAACTGATGGAAGAATGCTTCTGTTGACCTAGCTACAGCCTCTTGATGGAATAGATTGCTACAGAGATGGAAAATCCCTTTCTGTCCCTGAAGTAACTATGCTGTCTGTAACTATTAATTTCTGCCACTTATTCTTTATGAATACATTCTAATTCCTAGTGGCCAATTTCATTTCAATTGACCATCTACATCAGGGCTGTCCAAACTTTTTTCAAAGAGGGCCAGATTTGATGAAGTGAACATGCGTGAGGGCCGACCATTTTGCCTGACATTCTTTGAACCATTAAAATTAAATGCAGATTAACTATTTTATGCAAAGTTTATTGCAAACGGCATACTTTTCATTTCAACACATGGATGACAAATCTAAACAGGTGTTAAATCACTCTGCCTTTCATATCTGAAGGCCAGATGAAAAAAAAAATCCAGGAAGCTGAAATATATGTCAGGAACATTGTAAAGTACATTACATATTATTGGTAATAAAGGTTGTCTGTCAACTTTTAAGTTCAAAAAATATGAACAGGAACATAACACCAAGTATACATGTTGTGTCCAAATATATTTATAACTGATTTAGACCAACTGACATTAACTGAGATTTTACAATGTATTCATCTCAATACATATGGATTCATTGGGAGCCATAAAAGATAGAAATTGCCAAATTACCTGTGGGGCCGTATTAAACTGGAACACGGGCCGCAATTGGCCCACGGGCTGGACTTTGGACATGCCTGATCTACATCCTGCATTACACCTTCTTAACAATGGGGATAATTTTGCGTTTTCCTCAGACCCATTGTTTGCTTTCTTAGATGTGAATAAAGAAGAGCTCTGTGTAGCTCAAAAGTTTGTACCTTCTAATAGAAGTTGATCTATTAGAAGGCATTACCTCACCAACCTTGTCTCTCAATACACTTGGCATACAAATTTTTGAAGAGACCTCCGTAAATTATCAGTGGGATAATTACATGATATGAGGGATGTAAAATCCTGTTTGACTGGTTAAACGTAATGGCTGACTCATAAAACTTAATGTTTAATCGATTAACGGATAGAAGGGAGGCATCTGCAACCTGGCCGGAGTGGAGCAGCCCACTGCCGTGAAGAGGGGCTGTGCCATCCAGTTGGAGCTTCTCTGCCTGCAGCGCACCCAGGCCAGGCCTGCCATGGACAGCGGCTGCCTTGGCCGGGCTGGACTAGCTATGCGCACGATGGGCTCTGCAGGCTGGAGCAGCCCCCTGCTCGTGGCAAATGGGGAACTGCTTCAGCTCCTACCGGTTAACCAGAACTGGTGTCACCTGTTAAGTGTAAGGCTTATCAGTTAATTGGTTAACCATTTACATCCCTGTCTCTTATTCATTTTACTAACTTCTCATATGAGAGGATGTACAGATCCAGATGACTGTAACATTAAAATGGATAGGGCACACGAGGCATTTGTTCAAAGCATCTGAATTATGCATATTAATATTCATAAGACAATATTCATAAAGCATGCAGGGGGAGGAACTGTCACAGCTGGGTCCTGCCATGAGGACAGGGGACGGACTTGCTGTCTTCCTGAGGGTTCTTCCAGTTCATTATTCAGTGATTCTGTGTTGTGTAACTAAGTGCAGCATTGGATGCTACTGTTGTGGGCAGTGCAAAATAAAGAACTCCCATCTGAATTTATCATTTAAGTTTTTTTGACATGCAAGCAAAAACTTCACACTACCATAACTCTTCTTGGTATTGGACTTTATTGAATGTGTCTCAGACTTTTTTTAGCTTCTGTAATGTACCAGTTTCCAGCAGGCCTGTAGCATGTTTTGGAGTAAGATGGGTATATGAAACAATTGTCTGAACAAATCTTTCACAATTCTTATGTAAACTGTTTGGACTTGTGAAGGATTTGCTTCTATATGTGGGAACAGCCTTGAAATTTTCTTTTAATTCAAATGGCATGTAAAGAGAGTGACAAGGGAGATTAAAGAAAAAAAATTAGCTTAAAAGCCTGTAATAGATTAACCAATAGATTTGCCAAGGAAGAAGATTAACAGGTATCTAATGTGTGGTATTCAGATATTTGCTTCTCCTGCTAATCTGTGTAAAGGACTTAGATGGAAGGACCAGCTACAGACAAGGTACATTTCTGACAGCATATAACTAGGTTTGTAATAAACACACATGGCAATGATTGGAAGTGGCATTGTCACTGGGTTTATATAAATCCTTAAAAGTGCAATGTAGGCAAATTAGTATCAATGAAAGAGAAAGGGCCAAGCAGCGAGGTAGAAATGTTTGCGGATGATACTGAACTGTTCAAGATAGTCAGACAGAAGCAGACTGTGAAGAGCTACAAAAATCTCACAAAACTAAGTTATTGGGCAACAAAATGGCAAATGAAGTTTAATGTGGGTAAGTGTAAAGTACTGCACGTTGGAAAAAATAACCCCAACTATACATATAATATGATGGGGGCTAATTTGGCTACGACAAATCAGGAAAGAGATCTTGGAGTTATCGTGGATAGTTCTCTGAAAACGTCCACACAGTGTGCTGCGGTGGTCAAAAAGGCAAATGGGATGTTAGGAATTAAGAAAGAGATAGAAAATAAGACACAGAATATCTTACTGCCCCTGTATAAAACTATGGTACGCCCCCATCTTGAGTACTGTGTACAGATGTGGTCACCTCACCTCAAAGATATTTTGGCCTTGGAAAGGGTTCAGAAAAGGGCAACTAAAATGATTAGGAGTTTGGAACAGGTCCCATATGAAGAGAGGCTAAAGCGACTGGGACTTTTCAGTATGGAAAAGAGGAGACTGAGGGGGGATATAATAGAGGTATATAAAATCACGAGTGGTGTGGAGAGGGTGAATAAAAAAAAAAGTTATTCATTGTTCCCATAATTTCATTTGGTGTTCTCTAGTCCTTATATTATCAGGTAGCAAGTTGAAAACTAATAAGCGAAATTTCTTCTTCACACAGTGTATAGTCAATCTGTGGAACTCTTTGCCAGAGGAGGCTGTGAATGCTAGAACTATAACAGAGTTTAAAGAGAAGCTAGATAAATTCATGGAGGTTAGGTCCATAAAAGGCTATTAGCCAGGAGGTAGGAATGGTGTCCCTGGCCTCTCTCTGTCAGAGATGGATGGCACGAGACAAATCGCTTGATCATTGTCTTCGGTCCACCCCCTATGGGGCACTTGGTGCTGGCCACTGTTGGCAGACAGGCTGCTGGGCTAGATGGACCTTTGGTCTGACCCAGTATGGCCATTCTTATGTTCTTATGTTCTTATGTTATGTTCTTATGAATAGGTATATGAAGTTGGGAGAATATTGAGTAGTAGTGATAAAAATGCTAATGGTATTTATAGAGATGGCAAAATACTGTACTAGGTTAACTAGTTTAATAATTACCTTGTCAAGGAGACTATGGTAAGATTATACTGTGTGGAAAAGCCTTACTAGGAAGTCTTCTCTTCCTTGTGTTTCATAAATTGATCCAGGAACTAAAAATATATTCATTATATAGCAGCGGTCGGCAACCTTTCAGAAGTGGCGTGCTGAGATTTAACTTCTTCACTTCTATTTACAGGTCTGCATGCCATTGATACTTTTAAAAGCCAATAATAGTCCTACTTACATTTTAGCAGCTTCATTAATAAATAAAGTAAGATGCAGATCTTACCTTTTAGTTTGATCCTTGGCTTTGCTTTCCCTTGCTGAGTTCTCTGATTTCGGGCTCGTAGTTTGATACTTTAAGCAACACACAAGCTTCTGTCTCCAGTGCCACTATGCAGGTGATGTCAGAAGAACAGTCGCCTGATTCCCCACTGCAGCAGCAGCCACCATCACAGCAGCTCCATGGCACTCCCATGCCACACCACAGCCCCACGTTAAACCCCAGCAGCCACCCTGTGGCCTGCCCCAGGAGCAGCTACCATGAAGCCCTAGCCCAGCTCTAGCCCTTTCTCAGGGCTGAAGCTGGGGCCATGGCCATGTGGTGACTTCCCAGCTGTCCTGGATGGTGGCCCCGACTGCCTGAGGAATAGCTGCCATGCAGTCCATGTGGTCCCAGGCCGGCAACAGCTGCTGGAGGAGCCGCAGAGGAACTTCCTGCCACTGCCACTGGGTGCAGTGCAACCTAAACTGCTGCCAGGGAAGTGGGAGGGCACTGGCCGCTCACGCACCACGAAAGCCCCGCACAGCCCAATCTGTAGCCTCCTCGCCTGCCCCCTGGAGCTGGTGCTGCAGCCATAAGGCTGCAGCAACA